TTAGTGTCTTTGGTTTCAAACTGACCTGTTACTGACGTTATGGTGGCTGGTGGCCCACATTAATGACCCTAATCCTAAACCTAACCCTGACCCTCCAGCCTTCATAATTGTGAGAAATGAAGATTTTTTGGTTAAACTTGTTTGGACTTTTGTACAAACCTATTTAACATCCACTATTTTAACATAATATTATGTATAGAGTTTAATTCAGTGTTTGCAAGATTAATTTCACTATCTTTAAATTAATGTCTATATTTCCATGAAGCAATTGGGATTTTCTTGCCTGGGATATTCCTATTGGTGACCTAATCAAAATGGCCGAATTGGATGTGGGGGAGTTGGATATCCATCCTTGGCTTCCTGCAGACTTGATCAATGTTGGCGTGTTATTATTAGCCATTAGCCGCAGTTAGCAATTCAAGGCTAACGTCATGTTAATGATCATAAACAACGTAAATAAATAAATCAGAGATAAGGAGGGGGTATCGATACTTTTGAAAATGAGATACAACGTTTTAGTATCTATACTTTTTTGAGTATTGATACTTTTACAACCCTACCCCACACTCTCACCCTCCAGAAGGGAGACACCACAGAAGAGATGGAGCCCCCAGAGCCCCCCAAAGCAGAGAAGAAGAAGACCAGGAAGGGGAAGAAGGCCAGCGCAGAGGAGGAGAGCGACGAAGGCCACAGTGATGGAGAAAGGAACGGAGAGCAGGAGAAGAAGGTGAGAAGACGAATCCAGTCTCTGTTTTTAGGGTTTAAATGATTGTGAGGCTCAAACCACCCGATCAGAGCTAATCAGAGAGAACCAGAGTCATCCAGAGGTCAGCTGAGATCCACAATTTGTCCACCAACACGACAAAAAGGGTCTGTGTCTGTGCATGAGGTCTGAGCTTCTCATCTCTGAGGTTCTCCTCTCTGAGCTTCTCCTCTCGGAGCTTCTCCTCTCTGAGGTTCTCCTCTCTGAGGTTTTCCTCTCTGAGCTTCTCCTCTCAGAGCTTCTCCTCTGTAAAGCTTTTCCTCTCTGAGGTTCTCCTCTCTAAAGGTTCTCCTCTCTAAAGGTTCTCCTCTATGAGCTTCTCCTCTCAGAGCTTTTCCTCTGTAAAGCTTTTCCTCTCTGAGGTTCTCCTCTCTAAGCCTCTCCTCTCTGCTCCCACAGGCGCCTCCTGCTGCTCCTCCTTCGGACTCCGATGACGACAGCGCCTCTCGCCTGAAGAGCAAAGGAGGAAAGAAAGAAAAGAAGCCCTCAGTGTCCGACGCTGAGGAGGAAGGAGACAAGGAGGAAGGAGGGATGAAGGGAGGGAGAGGGGGCGAGAAGGAGGAAGAGTCGGAGGACGAGGAGTTCGCCTCCAGGAGAGAGAAGAAGAAGAAGAACAAGGGGATGAAAGCCGACAGCGAGGAGGAGGGGGAGGAGGAGACGGGAGGGTTCAAGATCAAGACGGCGGCCCAGAAGAAAGCAGAGAAGAAGGAGAGGGACAAGAAGAAGAAG